ACTCGGTGTGGTGGTATACGTTTATTTTTATTTTATTATTTACATTTCTATAACATTTTACAATGGGAATTGTGTATATGACAGAAGAAATGAAACAATTTTTAATTGGACAATTTTTCGAAAAATTTTATCGACATCGGTTAACGTCGCCATGAGATACAGACGGTTAAAAATGTTGAAAATCGCAGTTTATCACGACTTTTGATATACAATTATACTAAATCTACAAATTCTTACATCTTTCGATATCTACTGTCATTTGTGTATATAACAACCAATTTCAATGAAAGCATCAGAATTCGAAATGTATTTATTAAATTTTCATTACAGTCTTGGATAAAAAAATTATGAAAAACGACGTTTACTATTTTCTTCGCGATTCTAATCAATTGCAACATTTTTCAAAGTCTTTTTCCATATCATTTAGTAAACTAATCTATTTAGTAAACTTCTAACTTCACAAATAAACTCAAGTCACTTGGTTCAATTTTAAAAAAAGTTGAACCGTTTTTAAGACATTTTTGATGGACTGTATAAGATCGCTAGCTCATTTTATCGTCGAGTCGCGAAGTGGAGAGATTAATTGAGACATCCTTTCAGCGCTGTGATCGCAAATTAATACAACCGCTACACTGCCGTCTGACGCGGGCTGCAGTTGTGAATCCTGTGTCAATAGAATTTCGTCCCTAGCTCGCTGGCGGACCGTACTTCAGCATTCTATAGCGGTGTTGACCAGAGTGTAAATCGATATCTGGAGCGGTCCTTCGAATGATATGGTTTCACGGGATTAGTCAGCGGTCCGTAGGAATCGAATGTAAATCCCGCATACATTTCCAACCTATACTTGGGATCTGTTCATCTGTGTGTGCGGCTCATATCAGCTGGTCACTTCTCCGCCGCGTTCAATTTACTTTTCGGGATCCCTTAATGCTACCCCTATTTGCCGAAAGAGCCGTACGTTGTCTTTAGTTCGCCCCCTGGAATAGCCACTTTCCGACGTGGCGGGCAAGTTATCACCTTTTTAGGATACTGCTTATTACACCCGGGCTGCCGAGGGCACAAAAATGAGCGGGAAGCCTATTCGCTGAAGCTTTACCCCTAAAGAGTCTTATATTACTTTGAAAATATTTCGAAAAAATTACTTCCGCCATTTTTTCTATTAGTTACACTCCTCTTTCTTATGTTATTCGATGTGGTATAAGTTCGAAAACGGATCGAATTAATCAAAAGGTGGAATAAAATCAGTACTAATGAGACTTCCGTTTTGATACTAGTTGTAATCTTGTTTCGACATCCCCGTTCATCACTACCCGTTTCTGTACTGTCTGTTGGTTCTGCACTATGATAGGAATAGCAATGTAATTGTAAAGAGGTCCATAGAACCTCTTTATAAAAGAGGAAGTACTCTGAACCTGGTTTATCTCTGTCTGAAGCACATTATTTCCATTAATGTTAATGTCTGTCAAAATTACCAGTGGTGTAGTATTATGCATTTTTTTTACATTAACAGAACACAGAGTGACGGAATAGACAGATAATAGATAATACCAAGATATGAACGTATTTACAACAAGTAGAAATAACGAGCAATGGGCAGACATTAACCGGACCTCAATCACAGCCTTTGAAGAGAGGTAATATTTTGTCCGTACTTCAGTTTATATTTTTCTCTGCCTTCAATACACACTTTACTGCCCTATATTGAAGCTGACTTGTATCAAAGACTTTTCAATTGACTCAATTGGGTATTTTTATCCGTCTTTCATTCCATTCATAGTTAAAATCGTGCATTTCATAAAGTTAATATTTTTCTCAATATTAAAATCATATTTATATCAACAAGATTACATCGTGAAGTACTATCAGTGAATAGCAGTGATAATTGAAGGTTTCGAAACGAATAGGTAAAATGATCCTTTTCAAGTCGTTCAGGTAGCCCCGTTTTCAATGGTTCACCCTGTATATCGGAATCACTTGAAAGGTTTGAGCGTTGCTTTATATACGATTTCTTCCTGGAGGAGTTCTATGTAGATGTGAGTGATGACTGGTGAAATAGACGAACCCGTACTAAAGCCTGATCCTTGCTCTCGTAACAGTCGCCTTGGAATAGATAGCAGGTTCGTATAAAGTATCGGTGTACAAACTCCGCATAGGGCTGCCCGTTATTTTGCTACTGATTACTTCTATTTTATCTCTGATTGATACGTACGCGAACAGGAACCGGACGTCGAAGTTTACCAGCGTACACAGAGAGACGTTGCGCAGATGTCTTCCTTTTCTTTTTTTTTTCGTTTGCTGTACTCCGCTCATGAAGTGCTTGTCTATCGATCTCTTTAAATGGGCGACTACTGCGAGTCGCGTTACAGTATAAGCTCTTCCGGGGAGCTCTGATAAAGTTAATTGCAATGCTTGGCGAAAACCCTTTCGTAAGGACACGGGGCTTTCATCGAAACTTTTCTGACGATAAAAACTGTAAGAACCGGCCGCCTGCGTTAAAATCTTGGAAATTTTATTCCCGTGATATTGGTGTCGAAGTGAGAACGAAACTTTCTCTAGTACAAACGGGTTATTCCTGTGAATATTGTTGGACTACTGCGATACGATTCTTGGAGTGAATTCTTATTAGGAGCTAAGTTTACCTTCGCGAATGAATTTAGGAAAGTTGTAGGAAAATGATTTTATTAAGACAGACGCATATTTGAACGATATCGAATACGGAAATGAACAAGAAATTATTTCGTCAGAAAAATAATTATCTTCGACCATTTCTTAAATGATATTTGTATAAATCATAACAAAATTATTTATTCGGAAATTTTCATAATGTTCCGCAGAAAAATACCAAAATAAAATTAAGATTATTAACCAGTAAGTTAACCGAAACCTTTGCATAAACACACTGATCCTCTGTGAATTTACCAATTATTCTTATCGAACCGTCGTTTGTCGTGAAGTATCATCTATTAGCAGTGTCAATGACTCCGGACAAAAACTGTGCTCTCAAGGAAAAAGTGCAGATTGAAGCAAGTTCGGAAAGATTCCGCTAACTCGAGATAGGAACCTTATCGGCTTAATTAATCCCACAAAGTGTCGACGCGACGTAAGATCATTTTTATTCGATCCTCCTCGTTAGAGTATCTTAACTTTTCTGAAAAGATGAAATTCGCGTTGAATTGACTTCATATTTTGAATAGCAACTTACTATAAATAATAATGTCAGGAACAATACTATATCTGAACGAGTCACCATGCAAATGTAATGATTTAATAATCAGATAACAGTAATTCAAATATAGAGACATAATGAAACACAAAAACTTAATTTTCAGTCATTCTTTTAGAAATTTGTACTCTCCTCTGTATCGAATGGGATATATTTATACAGATGTTTATGTACTTTAAATTGTGAAAACACTATTTTTAATCCTACTATTTCGATAGCCGATACAAATTCGTTTTCACAATGCTATTCGACCCGCCGTAAAACTGTTTCAATCATAAATTGAAAAGGAGTAATTCAAAAGCTTCAACTTTTTAGGAACTACGACGAAAACGTGGACGTTTAATATTTATTTATGTCCTACAAGTTTATGCTTGTTCAAGACAAAAAAGATTTTACTCTAGGGATGGTACCGCGTCAGATTATCTGGCCATAATGCCTGCATATTTGATCTAATAAATTAAATAGACTCATATATCTTCATCTCTTGAGGTATAAAGTACCTAAACTTTTAAAGGATGTACAACAAAATGTAGTTAATGGTTTTTGCATGATGAAACACCTGCAAGTTCTCTGCCTGTGTTTAGCAACACTTAAATTGAACATTCGTTGTTAAACCACGTGTGAATTATATAGCAGAAAAATATTAACTATTCTTTATACTTTTATATTTATTTCAATTATACATAGTATAATGACGTCAAGTCTCAATGGAATAGTAACCAAAAAAGAGGTATAAAAAATCTTAATAAATCAAAGTATTAGTAATTCCACGTCTCAGAAATTAATAAACAATACGAAATAAAAAAAAATCAGGACAAATTTTATTTGAACGAGTTGCGAGCTATTTGGGACATGTGTCTTATGTATATTCTGGAAAACAACAGATTTAAAGGAAAAACGTCAGATATGGGTGTGACGGTATGACCATGTAACTAACGCGTCTGACTCTTACACATTCTTTCTACTTGGGTTTATATTTGATATGATTGACAGCAGTAAGATTTACGACCTTTCACGTTCACCGTCTTCTTCGATAATTTATTGAATGATTCCAATACACGTGAATCATGTAAATTAGTACACTTAGAAGGAATTTTTTTTAATATGTAGGTATTCACCACACATTTCAATAAAAAAAGCATACGATCTAATTACCTCGTCGACCACATTACTGAGCCCCACAAAATTTTACATTTCCATCCGGAACATCTAACAAGATGTGAGAGTACACAGTTATTTCGAGTAGTAATATTAACCGGTCTACCCAGTGTCTCACCATACATCCGAAGAAAATGATTAATTCTAATTAACCGCATGGAACGGTCTAACTAATGAATTCACAGAAACGCGCAGAACCAACAAATGTCCCGAACTAATAAAAAATCCCGCTAGAAATCTACCCGTATCATAAATTCCGTTCGATATAACACGCTTAATATGTTATAGACGAGCTATTAAATTTCCATAAAACAAGCCTCCTTCTTATTACCAACGGGGGTGGCCCGAGACTTATGGCGCGCGGCTCATGTACCTAGGAATGACCGTGCTCATTCGACCGTTCGTTTTGTTGTCTCGAGGCGTCCTTAAGTATATTAGCATTACGCATGACTAATGGGAATAATGAAGGACGTGATTACCGTTAATGCTGTACATTACTTTCTGTCTATATACAACAACAACGTCGCGTCCCCACGTCGCCGTGGACGTTACGAACGCCGTCGCCGCCGTGCTGATAGGTTAAACGTTTCTATTTTGCTCGAGTTGCTTGCTTACTTACACGCTTTGCTACGCAGGTCCCAAATTTTTAGGGTACGGTCGTAACTGCCTGTAACTACTTTTGAAGGCTCGCCAAGAAACTTCGCCGCCATCACCTTCCCGCAGTGGCCCGTTAGAGTGTGCTGAAGCAGAAACGGGGAATACCGTTTTAGAACATTTACCAACACGTTTTGAAGTGATAATGGGATAATTCGGTGACATACATAGGTACGTGACGTGTTAAAGAAAGGGATTAGAATGAATGGTGACAATTCGACGGTTGGATTTTATTGTTGGGTATGTTCCTATGGATATTCAAGAGAGATGCCAAATGATGTAAATGGTGGGACGAACATCCTTATAATTCATTATTGTACAGGGTGGTCGGTAACTGATTCTACAATCGCAAAGGAGATAAATCTATATTAAAAAATAAGTCGAAAATATATTTATTCATTTGAGACTCCTTTGAAAATAGTGTCTGTTGCCTACGCATGCAATTATCGTGTAGGACGTGGCTAGCGCGTCTGTTCATTGCATTCCGTTTCTACTTACTACCATGGCGGATACGCGCGTTTCAGATTCCTTTTCAAAGTTGATTCTCTTCAAAATAAAGCCCTTTACAAACACATTTTATTTGTACATTTTCGACTTACTCTTTTATGTAGGATCACCCCCTATGCGGTTGTACCGCCAGTTACTGACCAATTTGTATACTATTCTGCTTTCGTTTTGAATCTCGAGACAGAATTACCTTATTCATAATTGTTACCTTAAATAGAAAGATATATGTGTTAATTATTATTTTCTTTTATGGTATGTAGAATGACTCCAAAGTCGCCTATGAAAGTCAGCAATAAAAACATGGTTTAAACAATTGAACTGATTAAAATTTTATAGTTGGTAACTACAGTAATTTCTTTATGAGTGCACCACTCGGGTCTGTTTCGGAGCATTCGTGGCAAAGGGGGAAGGTTTTCAGCCCCTTATAAATTTGTTTTTTAAAAAATAACGAATTACTGTTCCATCAATCATGAACTCTGATCTCATACTATTGGTCGATGATGCATGTATCGTAATTGTTCATGTAGAAATGTGCTCGAAAACGTGTGATTAGAATTTAATAGTGCCTGTCAATGTTGACCTTAATCTCCACTGACATTTTGCAAGATAATCCGAGCGCAACCAACAGTGGTCATTTTATGCGTCAGTATGTAAGTGACACGAAGTGCCCGCATTACCGAATTGTGCACTTCACGCAATATTGATTTTCAAATTGCATCCATCAAATTGTTATTTCGCAGTACATAATATTATATCATTATGCCGTACCTTGTTGGCAATTAATTTTGTTTCCAGTCAAGGTACTCAACGTATATCACGAATAATGACTTTATTTCGTATAGCATTAAATTGCAATTACTGAAAATTACATTATAATTACATCCATTGCAGCTATAAACGAAAAATATCATTTCAATAGCTTATCATTGTCATGTTATATACGTACATTTTGTGAATAATTTAAAGGAATCGACTTCCCTTGTATAAAAAATAAATAAATAGAAGTAATGTTCTGTAGTGTCATCAGAATATGAGAATTCAAGTTCCATTTAATATTATTTTCCGTTCGTCTCGATGAATTTAAATGGACAATAACAATTGCGTGTTTGTTATGTTCACATTAAATGAACTATTTTTGCGCAATCGTACAAGTAACTATCGGTTATATATATTCTAATGTTAATTAAATACAGAGCATTCCAAATATCCACTCTCACTCTCGAACTTTGACACTTTGAAAGACGTAAGAACCGACAAAGTTAGTCTGCACATGGCCTATCCCCTCCTCCTGACATTTAATGGTAAATAATTCAGGCGTGACGTCGACAAGAGAGGCACGAACAACTCAAGGGCTCTTTCCTGTAAAGGGATGGGGAGGGGGATGGAGGAAGGGGCGCCATGAAAAAGAAGACTTCGCCAATTTTAAGGTACACGGTCGTCGGGAGCTCTTGAAAAATGTCCTAATGTAAATTAATGGCCCGGAAGTTTAGCCAGAAGGGCTCTAACGTGAAAGGAACACAGGTAGGTGAACACAGTACCCCACCTACGTTATACGAGCCAGCGAAGAACTTTTTCCACTTTCGTGAAAGAGAGTAAAAGAGAGGAGAGTGAACCGAACTATACGATAATCTAACGTCTCGAGAAGTTGGTCGAAAGCGCAGGGGCGAGTCCGCGTTTCTTACGGGAAACATTAAACGATCCACTGGATTCTCTTCCTCAATCGTCCTTCACCGGAGCACAATCCGAGTTTCGCTTGTGTCGTTTCTAATGTAGTCGTGTGTGAGTTAATATTTTCTTACCTTGCAGTACGACGTTATAAATCATTCACTTCAGAATCATGAAACATTAATTGTGAGTCCTCGGACTTAATATTTATAAGTTGACTGCTGATTTAAATGCATTTATAGCTTGTAGAGATCTATGAAGTGTAATGTACGATAAATCTTTCATCACATGCTACAAGCTTTCTAGTCTATTCTTAACCACAATTAGATATTTAAGAGAAGAAAAAAATATGGTCTACGTTTGCTCTTATTTTATTGAATTACTCGAGAAAATGTCATTTTTCGTAAAAATCCGCATTCTATTTGTACGGTTACTTAAAGAATTTGGCGTGCCAGTAACACACTGATAACCTAGGATTGCAATAATTAATACTTAGAGAGTCAACGATCTAATTTCATTATTAGGTGTACCAATAAGTAGTCCACTCTGTCGTCTAATTATGAGGCAATACATCTGGAATTAAAAGTATCTTCTCCATTGTCTACTGAAGAAAAATCGTGTAGTATGTTGGAAAATCATTATGAATATAAGTGAAACAATATACATCCGATTCCATATAACCAAATACCGATTTCATCAAGAATTCGTCAACGACTTATTGGCACATATAATATTCTTTTTAAATATACATTCTAATATTTTCACAGAAACACAGCTTCTGTTTAGGTTGGACACCTGCATCAGACGTTTCCAGCGTCTTTTAGCGAAGTACTGTAACGTACTGTTAATATAGGTAAGGTCGCTGGAGCGTCCTTCTCGGAAGGTACAGGCCAAGATTCACAAAATATAACTGATATCATCCTTTCTTTTTTTTTCCTTACGAGAAGCGGCCGCAGCGGCGGCGTAAGATGCGTACCAGATGCGTACGCGGAATAAAGCAATAAACTCTTTCGTAGAGATCAATCGAGAGGGTGAACCGACAGCGGAATACGAAGCAGAAAAGGGGAATACGCAGAAAGAGGAATAGGTTGATCCCTCCGAGCTGTACGAAGGTTCAATTAAAGTCGATAAAAGCACCGAAGAAGAAGCTGGTAACCTTCCTGGAAGCAACTAGCGACCCCAGTTTTACAACCAGTGCGTTTGTTTCGTTCTTAAAGCGTATAAGAGCGAACAGCGGTCTCGAGTCTCTCCGCCGATGGATGTACCACTGTAGCTGTTGGTTGGGTACGGAAACAAACATAATGTTTTATAATAACTACACCGTGGACGTTTATACACATTCAGATATTTATATATTAATTCGTAAGGGGCTGGAGTTAAATGGAAATCAATTTGGTTCATTAATACAATCATTGGATCGGAAATAAAATTAGGACTTCATTAATTATTATTTGAGACAGTTTATTGCATTTTGTACGTTTGAATATTTTATAATACAGAAATCGGTATAATTTTTATAACAGTAATTGGATGGCGTTATAATAAATTATTGTGTTAGTAGAGCCCAGTTAATTTCAGATTTAAGTTTCATTGATAATTTTGCATGCTTATGATAATATTTCGCATTCGGTCTAGTTGTTCTATTTGTTCAGTGAAATATGACATGAGTATATGAAATATGACTGACTTTTAGCGATGATTTAAGCAGAGCGAGATAATTGAATTATTCTTTAGCAAGTATAACCATTCGTATTGTAGGTAAATATGAAGTTTATACACCAGTTTCTAGTATGAAGAAACAACAGGTTGGACCAACAAAGCATTGTTTGTCTATGCTCACTTGGCCGTTCGCTATTGTACTACGAAGATTACCCAATTTGCCGGTCTAAAAGCTTACTCCATTGTCGCGATTATCGAAGTCGGAATAAATCCGTGTAACGAACAACGCGAATGCAGCACTTTATAAAACACATTAAAAATGGTTGAAAATTGTTGTTAATCGACGAATTGAAACCAGAACTTAATTTGCTATAGTTTATTCGTGATTTAAGTTAAACACGATTAATATTGATTTAGAATTATTAGATTATGGATATTTATGCAAATTTAGGTATTTATGGATTAACGTGCAGACATTGGAATCGAAACTATCGAGCTGATTAAACTTCGTTAATCTTTTTTTTTCACTGTACTCATTTTCCGAGAATCATATGTGCTGTAAACGCATAAACATCCACATTCTAGTAATTATTAATACATTGAGCGGATGAATTATTGACCGATCGAGATAATTATTCAAACATTTTGACGCAAAACAACATTTTCCAAACAGCCAACGAAACCGTTGTGACGTAGCTCGATCGTTCTGGTGATTTCGAAGGGAGAGCAACACAAAAATTCAGTTCCGCAGTTCGCAAAGGCAGGATCGAATGAATCAATTAGCGCGACTCCGAGACACGGTTCAAGCCAATTTATTCCAGCATCGTTCCCACGAGTGCGTGACTTTGATTACATGAGAAACACGAGCATTACGTATGAATGGAGTCGGTTTCATTCACTTTTCATGAACTCCTGGAAACATCTTTATTAATCTTGGTCGATTTCATTCAATAGATTATTATGTAAGATTAATTGAGCTTACACTGAGAACGAGATGATTCATTGTGATCCAGAGGGCCTAAGTAACCGTTTAATATCAACATCCTACCTGAACTCAGAGGCGCCTGATGATGTTAGATATCGACAGGAATGCACAGTTCAACGCGCGAATAATTATACGTTTCTTCTTTAGAAACCAAAACTGGTCTGTACTACTTTACGAAATCAAAGAGAAAAGTGAATTTAGCTGATGGAGAAAGTAACACTTAAAATATTCGTCTGTAAAATTCAACGCTGTTATTTGTTGTTGGCGATA